CCCCAAAACCCCAAAACCCCAAAACCCCAAAACCCCAAAACCCCTGACTGTTAAATTATTATTGAAATTTATGTCAAGAACAAAATAAAGATAGTTGTTGGAATATCTGCAAAAAGATTTCATTGCATTTAATGAGTTTTGATAATATATCCATTTTGTCTTAAAGTTGATGCAATTTCAGTGTTCTCCAGTTCTCGAGAGCTAAAATGTATTTGGATAGGAGTATTTCTGAATTCAGGACTCTTTTGTAATCCTTTGATTAAGTAGTTAAGTGAGGCTGAATAGTTACCCCAATCTGATCTTGGTACACTTCCACTGCCTGTGAAATCTAGATTCTTTAAATTAGATCCATGCAATGGCTTCTGAAAATTTGGACAACTTTGAAAATTTAGGTCTGAATCTCTGAATCCAATAGTATCTAGTTGCTTATTTTTTGATAGAACTGTTTTCATATCTCTAATCTTGACATTAAAATTATAGAGGTGTAATTCTTCAGTTACAAATGAGCTAAATATACCAATGTAGCCAATAAAATCTTCCAGTTCCAAAATTTCAGCTCGATTAATGTTAAAGTGAAGATTCTTAACATTCAAAGGGAAAATATTCGCGAAGGATTCCATTAGTTCTGGATCATCTTCCACTAAGCATTGGCAGATTAGAGTATTTCAATCAGGAAGCTTAAAATTAGAGTACTTCCTTACGAATCTTCGCACTTGGTTGTGAGAAAAATCAAGCGAGATGTTGTTTTGAGAATCAAGCAAGGTTTCCTTCCCAGTCAAGAAGGTATATGCGAATTGATATAGTTCAAGATATTTATCATTCCCCTGAAAGTTCTGAGGCCTAAGTAAATTAGAAAAACAGTAACTTTACTTTAACTGTGTAGTGCTTGTATTTTGACTAAGGGATGAAGATTCATAATCTGTAATCTGAGTTTTTAACTTCGATATATTTAGAGAACTATCCTTTATCTCTTTATCTTTGACTTCAATCTTTCGCTTTAGTTCAGCTAAAAGTTAAATCATAACTTCATAATAGAAAATTACCATTTTCATTTCCCAGTAAAACATTATTTTTGAGTCAGCTCATCTTGCATCTGAATGTACTCTTGATCTTTCTTTGCGAGCTCTTCAGCATGCTTCAGAGCAGCTCTTTGCATTTCTTCATCCTTCTGTGTACAAACTTGGAGACTTTGGTCTAATCTCTCTTGTAAATTTTGCAGTGCTTGCTCATGGTCATTCTGAATTCTTTCAATTTCATCATCTTTATTTCTATAAAAATCTTTCAGAAAATGATTGCGAAGAAGGGTTCAGAACTTGGCTAAGCAAAGTAGCTTCTCCATACCTGTAAGGCTTTGAAAGCCAAAGTTCTATAGTCCTTCAAGCAATCTTGAAGTCTTTTCTCCCATTGCGAATTTAATTGACGCTTAAGGTTTATGATTTCCATTTCCGGATCATCTCCATTTACAATTTTGAGTTGGGATTCTCAGAATCTTTTCATTAAGAATTCAATCAAGTCTGGAGATGACTGCATTTGGTGGTATAACTGCTTTGCTTGTTCTTCAAAGCTTTCAGGCTGATAAGTCAAGTTTCCATAAGCAGTTTTCCAAAGTTTATCCTCTATTCTACTTACTTGTTCAGTCAGGTACACAGCCAGAGTGTCCAACTGCTCAGTAATCTCTTCACTTTCTTGTGTATACTTCATAGCCTGTCTGATTATATTGAGAATTGTAGCTATTCCTTCTGGCTCAACCAGATCTTCTGCTTCTTTTGCATAAGACACGTTGGAGCAGATCTGACATAGGAATAAACAAAGATCAGGGGAGTACCTAAAGGCGCTGATTAATACGCGATAGCTATGATAATCCTTATGATAATAAATCCTAATCAGAACCACAACTATAAAACAATAAATCTTAAGCAAAAAAACTGTAGGAATGATCTAAATATTATACCTCTCTTGTTCAAAATCTAATCTCTCATCATCCAGAATTTCCTTGTTAGAGACAAAACGAGTTGCCTTATTCTGACACTGACCATGTTTGCACATAAACTTCTTCATTTAATTATTATTAATCCAGGAAATTCTTAAAAACCGGGGTTTTGGGGTTTTGGGGTTTTGGGGG